AGGACTCCCTCCTGCGTTCTTCTTCCTCTTGGTCCTGATCACCACGCTGTGCAGAACTCTCTTTCTCCCCGCAGAGCATCAATGCCACGCGCAGAGATCTTCGTCCATCTTGTTCACTACTATATCCCAGAGCCTAGAACAGTGCCTGCCATACTGGAGGCGCTCCATAAACGAGCTGGATGAAGACGCGGAATAAGGAATCAAAGCGCTAGATCACACAGGCGGGGGTTGAGCTAAGGTTTGGACGTTTTTTCTGAGGGCACTGGGGAGCCATGGAGGGTTATAACCTGGGGGAGGAATGGGGTTAGGCTGTGGTTTAGAAAGATCCCACAGAATGGAGTGGGGCAGGAACCAGAGGAGGAGCCCGACTGGCAACAGATTCAGACCCAGGACAGGAGTGCCACTGGGGTAGGAGGCAGGGAGTGCTCAGTTAGAATGCTTGGGACCTGAGGCTGACAGGCTGGGCGGGTGGGGGTGGGTCTGTGTGCTTAGGTGGAGGCAGGCGACATGCCCGCAGGAGGAGGCTGGCCTGGAGTTAGGGTCCCAGCTGCCAGCACACTGCTGGGAGGGAGCCCATGTCCTGACCCTGATAGGGACAGGGCACCACAGCCAGGGAGGGGACAGAGTGTGGCTGTGGGAACACACCTCCTCTGCCTCCCTGGGCAAGCCAAGCTGATGATAGCTTTATAGAAGTGTCACTTGGGTCTCTACACACACTTCCTTTTTCTGTGAACGGGGCCCAGCAGAGTGGGGGCTGCCCAGGTCATTTGGGAAGCCCAGGGATGAACTTCAGGGGACAGAGATACAGAATCTGAGAACTTGAGACGCAGGGAGGGACTGACCAAGGCACAGAGGAAGGTCACGGTGACTCATGCAACCCTGGAGGAGGCTGGGGCCTGGACTTCTGGGTCTAAGGGAGGAAATTAGCTCTTGGAGTCCTCAGGGCTTGGCGTGCCCCCTACAAACCTATAAAACAGGGACAGGGTGTGGCCCAACTCCAGCAGGCCCTCGAAAGCCATGTGCTCTAAGCAGTGGCCTCAGTGGCTGCCTCAGCCACTTGATTAATTAATTAGTTGCATTAATCACACTGGCCACCCCCACAGCGGAAGCCCAGAGCCCGACTGGGGGGTGAGCGCAGCAGCCAGGATGCAGGGCTGTGGGTCTGGCCTGGGTTCTCCGCTGGCCTCTGGTCTTTGTCCCTCATCACGCAGCGCTGGGGGCACTGGGGCTGGGCGGGATCCCTCCCGGCCCTCCCTCCTGAAGCTCAGCTCTGCAGGCCTGGGGACAGGAGGGAAGGGGAGGGAGCCACCCATCTGGGGATGAATCTCTAAGATTGAGACAAGGAAGGGGTCCTGGGACAGATTCCTGCCACACACTCCGGCTCCATGGAGTTCACACCTCAGTGTCTGTCTCTCTGAGGCCCAGGCCCCCTAATTCTTGCAGATCCTGTGTCCTGATAGTCTTCTTATTCTCCCCTTGGACACTCAAGGTTTTCATCTGTCTCTCAGGATCTTCTCATCTCTGCCTCTGGTTCTTAGGGTCCCTGCTCCTGTGTCTCTAATCCCCAAGGTCTCTGGCCTCTGTTTCTCAAATTCGTGCTCTCTCTCTCTCTCTCTCAGGCCTCCTGATGCTAAGGAAGCACTCTCCCACTCAGCGATGTTCCCAGCCATCTCTTTTGAACAGTATTATTGATATAAAATTTCCATATAATCCACCCCCCCCTTAGAGCATACAGTTTAATGCCTCTTGGTTTGTTCACAAAATCGTGCATCGATTGCCACAGTGATTTCAGAACATTCACACTGGTCAGCTAAGCAAAGTGGCACATGCCTGTAATTCCAGTGACAGAGGCTGAGGCAGGAGGGTCACATGTTCAAGGCCAGCCTTAGTAATTTAGCAAGATCCTATCTCAAAATGAAGATAAAAAAGGGCTGTGGGTGTAGCTCAGTAGTAGAGGGCCCCTGAATTCAATCCCCGGTATCAAAATTTAAAAAAAGTGTCATTAGCCAGAAAGATTGCCGGGACCTCTTAGCTGTTCCCTTTCTTTGCTGGGCGCCTCTATCCTGGGGGGGTCTCTATCTGCTGCGGTCTGGGTCTTCTTATCTCTGGAGTCTGGCTTTCTTATCAGATTCCTGGGAACTGTAATCTCTCTGTGTCTCTGTGTCTGGACCCTGGGACCTCCCTGCTCCTGGGTCTCCTACCCTGTCTCTCTGCATCTACTACACTTTCTCAACTGCTCGAGCCTTCTCGCTGGGTCCCCTCTTCTCCTCCGCCTCCTGCTCCATTTCTCTCAGCATTGCTGGGACATTAAAAATGTAACAGCGTCCCAGGCAGGGGCGGGGGAGCTGGTCCTCGTGCACTACTCCCTGTCCCTCTTATGTCCACCACTCCTTGGGGCCCCCACACGCTGCTGGCCTTGAGGCTTGCCTGTGCCCTGACCTTCCTCGGTCATGGCATCTCCTCTCTCAGACGGAGTCTTCTGGGCTCCCTGCCTGTCACCAAACCTCTGTCCCTCTCCTTGGGCTGTTTCTGTCTTCATCCTGGTGTCTCTGACTGGCTTCCTGTCTGTCCATGTGGCTCCTCTCTCCATCTCTCTGTTCCTTTCCTATAAGTGTCCTTGACCCCATCCCTAGATCTGATTCTCACCCTCTTTCCTCTTTTGGCTTCGGTCCCCATCCCTGTATCTCCATCCTCTCTGTTTATCCCTGTCCCCGGCCCGGCTTCTCCTCTGCTCAGTCCCCCTTCCCTAACAAGAAGAGACAGCCAGGCCTGCAGTCCCTTCTCCTCCCATCCCCCTCACTGCGTGGGGCTGCCTGGCTGACATGGATGAGCAGTGAGAGCTGAGGGTGGGAGGGGAGGCGCAGCGAGGTCCAGGTGGTGCTCCCTGGTTCCCAGGAGGCCAAGGAGGGGGAAGGCAGAGCTGGGGCCAGGTCCAGGGGGGATAAAGGGAGAGAGTGCAGCATGGGGGAAGGAAAGCTCAGAGAGGAGTGGAGAGGGAAGAGATGGAGAGAAAGTGAGGGGAGAAGGGAAGAGAGGAGGAGGAGAGACACAGACAGACAGACAGACATTGGGGAGGACCCGAGTCAGCAAAGGCAGAAGGATGGAAGGTCAGGAAGGGGAAGGTCCCCTCTCCTGATTTCTCGGAGCATTGAGGGGACCTTTGAATCTTCCCAAAGGTCCTTCAGGGAAAGGACTGTCACCTCAGTTTTACAAAAGAGGCTCAGAGACACTTTGGGGAGACTACCCTGCCCAAGTGGTCTGAGAAGAGCCTCTGGATCAGGTCTCCCAGGAACTGGCTGTGGGACCCTGGGAAAGTAGCTTGTCCTTTCAACACCGGTTTCCTCATCTGTGAAATGGGAACAGGGAGAGGCCCCTGTTTCTAAGGGTGATCTGGAACCTTCTGTGAGATTAGGCACCAGTCAACCTTGGTGCAAGTTGGAGAATTCTCCCAGAGATGAGAGGTTCGCATCCCATCTCCCTGTCGCTGACAGGGAAGGAAGAGGCGGCCAGTGCTCACAGCTAGGGGTCAAGGCTGGATGACAACTCAGGGACATCGGAGGCCAGGGGAGTGCCGGGGATTCCCCCTTAGCCCCTTTCTGGGCAAACCCATGGGAAACTCCAGCATCCCAGTGTTTCTATCTGGGAATAAACAGCCGGTCAACAGCAAAGGGCGGGGCCAGCGCCGCCTTCACCTGTCTCCTCTCAGCCTCTGCTCCTTTGGGGGCCGCACCCCTCCCCCAAAGAGGTGGGGAGGGGAGCGGGGATTAGCCAGCAGGCTCCACCCGTCCGCCTACCAAAGAGACTCCGATGACAAAGGCGCGACCAGAAGAAAGATAAGGTCCCGAAACCCGGGAGTTCGAAACTCGGGAGTCCGGAACCGGGAGCAGCAGAGCTCCTGCCCTGCCCCTCCCAGGCTCGGCGAAAGCGATACCCGGAAAACTTCCCCAGAGACGTCCCCACTGACCGCTCACTTGCAAAGGGCGGGGGCATCCAGGCTCCGGGACTCGGCCTCGGATTCTACCTGGGACCCAGCACCCTGAGCCTCCAGACGGAACCTCTGGCCCTTGATTACACCTGGAGGCCAAAGGACGGGTGCCCTGCCCGTCTCAGTATTTGGGGTTCAGAAGACATTCCTCTGCCCACAATTAAACCTGAAACCCACGAATTAAGCCTTCTGTCCCCAGTTCTACTTGGAATCCAGAAGACAGAGGCCCCGGATCACAAAAGTTTGAGCCCCTCCTGCCCCCAGTTCTACCTAGACCTCGGTTAGTGACAGCCTCTGGCCTCCATTCTACCTGGGACCCGGGAGACGGAACCCCCAGCCCTTAATTTTTCTAGAACCAGTGTTTAGAGCCCGCAAACTCCTTGAGATCCAGGGTTGGGAGGGCCCAGCACAGGCCCTTCCCCCCAGGGCGCTGCAGGAACTCTCATCCTCCGCCCGCCACCGACCCCAAGGTCCGAGCTCCCAGTCCCTCCTCCAGCGGATCTCGACGTCTGGCCCCTTGCCCTTGACCCCCCCAAGGCTCAGACGTCCGACCTGACAAGAAAGAAAAATGAGGGGTGGGGGGAGTCTTCCACACCACCACGACCGTCCTGCTGGGGGTGGGGGAACATTCTCCACATTCCTGAGGGGGGCACCGGAGACGGATACCCAGATCCCGAATCACTGATTAGCCCAGGATGGGGAGGGGGCGCGAGGCCTCCTACAGACCTCAGATTTCACCACTTAGGCGGCCCGAGGATCTGACCAAGGGGGGACGGGGACAGAGAAGTCCCGGGTAGCATGGGCGGTAGGGATTAAGGAGGGTGTGAAGAGAGGGACATAGAGGGATTTTCAGGACTCAGACAAAATAGGGTGTGTAGGGGAAGGCGTCGGAGTCGGAAGGGACATTCTGGAAGGGGCACGAGAGAGGGGCCTCGGTGAACCAGGGGGAGTGGGGGAAGGTACTCGGGGTTCCTCCACTCAGAAGGGAGGGAAGGGCGTCCGCGGTTCCTCTCACCTGTTTCCCGAAGCAGCAGCAGCAGCAGCAGCGGCAGCGGCAGTGTCGGCGACAATCTTGACGGCGGGAGGACGGCGACCCGGGCCATGGGGGGCCCGGGAGCGGACTGGGCCGGGGCGGGGGCCTGCGGGCCACTGTGCGTGCGCCAATCGGCTGAACGGTCGAGCAGGTGCCTGAGTGATTCGGCTGCGGCCGGCTCCGGTCGCGCACGGTTCTCCCCGCTCTGCTCTGGTTCAGCTTTCCCGATCCCGCTCTTAGGATCCACGCCCGGGCCCCTAGCTTAGCTCCGGCCGTTCGGACTCGCTGACGTCACAGGACCCACCCCTTCCCTTCCCCCGACCGAGTCGAACCCGGGCTCTGGCCCCTCCCCGTCCTGGTGTTCGGACCACACCCCCCGAATTCCACACCTGTCCCTCCCCGGTGTTCTAGGATCGCCTTTTCCAGTGTTCTCCACCCGTCCTCTCCCGGGATTTTATACCCGCTCCTCCAAGGAGTCTACGATCGCTCCGCCCCCAGAGCTAGTCTCCGCCCTCTCCTGGTGTTAAACACCGCCCCTTTGGAATCCTAACAACGCTCCCTGGCCCCAAAGCGTTCCTCCCGCGCCCTTTCCACGTTTCCACGCCGCCCACTAGGGTTCTGTCACGCCCCCTTTGGAACTTCCGGCCGTCTCCGCCCCCGCGAAGCCACGCCTCCTCTCCGGCCCCGCCCTCCTCCCTCCGAATAGCCTATCCTCCCCTCCCCAGGAGCTGGGTCGGGCCAGGTCTCAGCCCGCCCACAGCTCTAATCCCGCCCTCTTTTGCAAAACCCTGGACCTTTATCGCACCTGCGTGATCACGTGGGCTCTCATAGACACGCCCCCTCTGGAACCCCGCCCCATACTGAGACCCCGCCCCCACCCGTCCTGGCCAAGCGATTTCCCGAGACCTAGCCCCTGGCTCCGCGTCTGTGTCGCATCGTGGGCACCTCTCAGAATACGCTCGTGTCTTCCTCTGCCTCGGATTCTGGGTGTCACCACGTTGCTTTCTCCTAGATTTCTCTCTTAATGTCTTTGTGTGTGTCTCAGTATTTTTGCGCGTCGGTCTCCGTCACCGTGTTTCTCTGTCGCTGGGTCTTTCGGTCTCGGTGTCGTTCTGCTTCTGGTCTGTCTTTGTCTATCAATGTTTCTGTGTCACTTGTTCCCCATGTTTCTTTCCATCCCTTTGATTCTGTGTGTGTCCCTGTGTCTCTGCCTCTTTTTCTCTTCGCGTCTCAATGTGTCTTTGTCAATGTGTCGCTCTCTTCATGTCTCTGTCCCTGCTTCTGTGTTCTATGTCCCCTCTCTGGAGTCCTCGTATCCACCTTTCCATACAGGGTCCTCGCCATAGTCTTATCGCCGGCTCCCGCCAGGGGGCAGCCCAGACCCGCCCCGGTGCTTCGCTGGCCGGGCCGGTAGTAGGAGGCTGGGCTAGGGTCCGGCCTCCGGACCTGCCAGTCCCTCCCCGTGTCCTTGTCCCACTTCCCCTATCTCCCCAGCCTCCTCACGTCTTTGTGTTACGCTCTGACTCGGCCCTTTTGTCTCCCAGGCGGCTCTGCTCCTCCCCACCCCCACCTCTTAACATTCCTCGGGCTGCCGGGGAGCTGGTGAGGCCGCCCAGCCTGGCCCGGGTGAGGGCAGTGAGCCGGAGGCCGAGGGAGGGGATACCTCTGAGGGCTTGAGAGCTGAGATCCTCCTGGGCGAGAAGGTGCCAAGCTAGTCGGCTTGGGCAAGCGCTTGGGGACTTCTTGCTAGCAAGAGGACCACCTGCGAAGGCTAGACCCTCCCTTTCCACCTGCACCAGACCTGGCTTTCCTTCCCAGAGGGGCCACAATCCCAAGTAGAAGCTCTTACTGACCCCTCTTGTTGGTGATAATATTAATTCGTGTATAGCACCCTGTGCCCGGCGCTGCTCATTGCAAGTGTTAACCCACTCAGCACCCTACATGAGTGCGGCACAGAGATGAAGTGACTTCACCTAAAGTCATAGTTGTGGAAAGACAATCTGGGACTCACGCTGCGCTAAGTATCTGTTTGTCTTAGTTAATTCCTCACAAGAACCCCACGAAGGGGGGGTTGAAAAAAAGTTTCCCCATTTCATTGAAAAGTAAACTGAGGCACAGACTGGCTGTTAATCCCCAAGCCATCAGCAAGGAAGTAGCAAGGCTGAGATTTGAACCTGGACAGTGTGATTCTTAGCATCTACCTCAGGCTGGACACAAGCCTGGTGTGAGGCCAGCTGGACAAGCCGGTACATAATGCCCTTCAGATCTCGCTGATCTTCTCTCCCAAGTCCCGGGCCAGGTTAGAGGGCCAGGGTCTGGCTCTTAGACTAGCCCTGCTCAATTTCTTTGCAAACCTGCCTTGCTCCCCATTTTTCCCTTGAGCAAAAGAACCCATGCCCAGGGAAGCTTCTTCCAGGAAGGCCCCCAGCACCCGCTCTTCCAGGGTCCAGGGCTTGGCTTAGTCCTTGCTGGTCTTTGTGGGTGAGCCCAAAAGGAAGGCCCAGGAGTATCGGCTGGAGTTTCACACCACCAGGCCACATGCACATGGGGGCATGAGTAAGGCTGAGCACCACCACCTTTATTGACAAATGACTGGGTGGGTCCCATGCCTCAGGAGTCAACTTCCAGTGTCAAGGAGTCCCAGAGGTGGCACTTCACTGAAGAGCCATAACCAAGAGGAAGGGACATGGGGCCAAAGGCCTCCTGATGGAGTCTTGAAGTTGATGTCAAGTACTTTATCTGCCCGGAACTGCTCTCTCTTCTCCCAGCAGCAACGGCTCCCACTGCCACTACCCCAGGTTTCCTCATTACTCAGTCCTTATTACTTGGTTCAGTGTAAGGCCAACCTAGACCTGGGCAATCAGAATATTTGATCCTCCTGGCCACTGGCATTGTTTCAAGAATGGGAATCAATTTGAGCTCCTAGATCCAGCTTTGCCTGAAGGCCATCAACACTTTCACTTCTCAAATATTTGAATGAAACATTTTCCCCTTTTCCCTTACATGAATTTTTCACTTTGCTGCCTGCTTTTTTCCCTCCCTAACTTCCTTCCTACCTTCCTTCTTTCTTTCTCCTCCTCCTTTTTTTCTTTTGCAGTACTAGGAATTGTACAGGGACATTCTACTCCAGAGCTGTATCCCTACCCCTTTTTATTTTTTATTTTAAGACAGGGTTTCACCAAGTTGCCCAGACTGGTCTCCAACTTGCGATCCTCCTACTGCAGCCTCCTGAGTTGCTGGGACCACACCCATCAGCTCTGCTGCCTTTTTTTTGGTCATTTACAACCCAACACAGCCTTACTAATACAATCTCTCCAAGTTCAGAAGATGTGTAGATTCCTGGGACATTCCAGGAACAGGAATCACTTTTCAGAATCCCAGATGTCCAGGTTTGGAAAGATAGTCAAGTTTTTTTTTTTTTTTAATATCTTTAGTTGTAGATATTAAGATACTAAAATATAGGACACAATACCTTTATTTTATTTATTTTTATGGGTGTCGGGGATGGAACCTCACGCATGCTAGGCCAGCGCTGTACCAATAATCAAGTCTGTTACAGTGGGGGACACGGGGGAAAGGCTTTCCAGGGAAGTGTCATGTCACCAAGCATGGTGGGGACAGGGAGAGAGGAACTCTGCGTGTGAGGAGCTGCACCTGAGGAGGCCCTGAAGGCCAGGTGGAGGGTGGCCGTGCTCCTGGGAACAGGAAGCCCCGAGATTGGGAGCCCGGATCCTTCGGCTCTGCCTTCCCTCTCTCCTCCACCCAGCCCTTGGCCAAGATGGGAGCGAGGGTAGTTCTGGGGTGGGACAGACTGCCATCTGTATGCAAATTATCTGGGATGCCATGTAGATGAGGGACCTTATGCAAATGTGTCTTTCTGGGAGACAGGCTGAGGCACTACCTCATTAACTTGGGGACCAGGTGCTGGGTGGAGAACTCTGTCCTCCCTGGGGTCCCCTTTCCCCTCCTCGGCCCATCTGTTCACTCCCAGACTCCCTTTACCAGTGTCTGTCCTTAGAGTGGCCTCTTTCCACACCTGGTCCTATCCCGAGAATAAAGGAAACTTTTTGGCTTTCCTCTGCGTCCCTCCATCCTTCCTTGCATTGGAGTAATAGCTAACATTGCTGCACAAGTATCCTGTGCCCAGCTTTGTCCTCAACACTTTCCTTGTTCAGTTCACTAAATTCTCCTCTCCACCCTCTGATCCTCTGTGTGTTTGCTGTTTTTTGGGGGGAGGCGGGTGGGTACTAGATAAACTTGCGATCCTCCTGCCTCAGCCTCCTCAGTGACTGGGATTACAGGTGTGTGCCACTGCACCCGAGCACCTTTGTTTTAAATGAATTCAATAAATCCTCTGAGATAGGAGTGCCTTTATCTGAGCTCTTCCGCTCTGGGTCTCTGCAGACTGCCTGGTCACCTACAGGAGACTACTGTCACCAATTTCCCTTGGTGCCAGATCTCACTTGGTGGAAGAAGCAAACTGTGGGAGGAGAGTGAGACCAGGAAGGCTTGGGGGGGCATCCGGGAGGAGAGGCACCCTCATCCCTCACCTCGGGCTGATCTAGCACAGTCGCTGGTTTGCATGGGGCTGACTCCTCACGGCTGCCCTCTAGGGGCCAAAGTGGGACTTGTCTCGGTGTGATGCCCAAGAATCAAGGCTCAGAGGTGGATTCACCCAGCCAAGGTCACTGGTGCCTGCCTCCCAAATGCTTCTGAGCTGCCTCTTTCAACATTTTCTCTTTCCCTTTCTGGCTGTAACCCTCTCTCTGAACCCAGGTTTTCTTTTTCACTTTTTCTGTCTCTGTCTCCCCCTAAATCTGCCTCCTCTCTTTTAACTCTTGAGCCCTGCCCACCCCTCCCTCCTACCCACCCTGAGTCTTTCCATCCTTCCTCACATCCCTCTTCCTGGGCCTCAGAGTCTGTCCTGGCCAGCCCAGGCCGGTCATCCACATCAGATCCCGGCCTCCCTTCTTCCTCAGGGAATCCTGCTGCAGGAGCCAGGACCGCCCCCCCCCAGGAGGCGGCTCCATCCCTAATTCCATCAACTCTACTTCTGGGAGAGCTCTTGTCCCCTCCCGGCCTTAATTCCCTGGGGGGCTCTGGCCAGAGACTGGAATTTTTCCTTAAGGGGACAGCACCCCATTCCCGAGCAGGCACTGGTCACTCCCTGACCTTGGGGGAGGACCCCAGCCTCTCTCTTCCACCTTCCCTGGCTGAGCCACCTCCGGGAGCCCTCTCTCTCCTCTCTCTCCATGACATCAGATTCTCCTGAGGTCTCAAGAGGAAGTGGACAGGGCAAGGCAGCTGGGGGGGGGTCACCTGCACTCTGCTTCCCTTCCCTGACCGCCAGAGGAAGATCTGGCCACAGGATGGTGTCGCCATGTCAGATAGCCTTTATTCCAGACTCCAGTGTCCACAGATGGTGGGCTGGGGGTGAGGGCGGGCAGGGGCTCCAGTGTCAGACTATGCAGCAGGACGTCAGGTGGGGGGAACCAGCAAGAGAGGCAGGAGGTAAAAATAGCCCCGGCCGGGGACCCTCGGTGCCTTGTCCCAGGCAGGGCCCTGGGCTTGGGTCCAGGAGCTATTCTGGGGCCTGGGAGAGTCACCATCCCTGGAGGAAGGCCCCCTCCCAGCCACCCCCGGCCCCCCTCCCTCCCAGAGGCTGAAGGCCGCTGGCCGCGTGGGTCTCTGCCCAGCAGGCAGAGGAAGGAAGGGAGGGCCCGAGAGAAGGAAGAGGGGGCGGGCGGGCGGGCGAGCAGGGTTCTGATGCCCGCAGCTCTGTCCAGTGACAGCCTGAGGAGGTCCTTGGGCTCAGCACTGTGGAGAAAGTGGGGCGCTCAGCCTGTGCTCCGGCAGGTCCCTGTCACCAGGGGGCCCAGGCCCTCACTCACCTCGTCTCCAAAGCCCCCGCTGCCACCCCTGGCTCCTCCAGAGGAACCTCCCACGAGAAGGCCCTTCTGCTCTGGCCGCTGGGACCCTGAGTGGCTCAGCTCTGGCTCCCCAGGTGGCCTGTAGGGAGAAGGGCCCCGCGGGGAAGTGGTCACGTGGGGGAAGGACCTGGGCTGGGCTGGGGTGGTACTGGGTTAGGGACGGTGGCGGGCAGAGGGCTGGAGTGTGGGGTGGGGCTGGAGGGATGGCCAAGGGGTCGGCAGATCTGGTGGGGCCCCTTTTTGAGGGGTCTGCAGCGGCTGTGGGTTGGGGCTGAGGTGCCCTAGGCCAGGGGTCGGGATGAGCGTAGAGGGGAGACGGTCTGGGGTGGTAACGGCTGGGGTCAGGAGATGGCCAAGGAAGTTCTTTTTTTTATAGACATCAGGGGCTGACCCCTGAGGGACGCTTAACCACTGAGGCACGTCCCCAGCCCTTTTTTATATTTTATTCAGAGACAGGGTCTCGCTGAGTTGCTTAAGGCTAAGTTGCTGGGGCTGGCTTTGAATTGAGATCCTCCTGCCTCAGCCTCCTGAGCCGTAGGGACGTTCTGAGTGGCGACGGGCTGAGACTGGAGAGCTGGCATTGGGATGGGGTCAGGGCCACGTTGGCGTTGGGGTGGGGATGGGGAGGAGCAGATGAAGTGATGAGGACACGGGCTGCAGCAGCGGGGGTGGGAGTGCTGAGAGGGACTTGGGGACAGGTCTGGGTGGGCTGAAGTTGGCGAGGCAGCCTTGGGGGAGGAGGCGGGCTGGGGCAGTGGAACTGGGCTGCGGGTGGAGGGGGCAGGGTTTGGGGCTGGGCAGAGGGCGTGGCCTGGTGGCTGTGGGCTGGGCGTGGAGGGACGGCTGGGGTCCTAAGACACTCACGGGGACCCTTTCTCTCTCCGCCGGCAGCAGCCAGGGCGCCCCTTACGTCTCATGCAGTAGAAGGCAGCCACCACGAGGAGCAGGAGGCCCACGCTGACGGCCACGGCCATGACGGCCACTCCGGCCTGGGCCGTCTGGGGGGCCACTGCAGGGAGAGGGAGGGCGGAGGGGCTCAGTCGGGGCTCGTGCCCCCCTCCCGGCTCCCCTCCCCCAGGGCTGCTCACCTGTGCCGAAGTGGAAGACGTGGCTGACCCTCCCGTGGGGGTTGGAGGCCTCACAGGCGACGCCCTCGCGTCCCAGGGCACTGGTCACCTTCAGGGTCAGGGAGCTGCTCACCCAGCCCTGCCCTCCGAGGACTGGCTCTGCAGGCTGTGGAGGCTGGGGTCAGGCCGGCCCAGGGACCAAGGGCAGGGCTGAGGGCAGAGGTGAAGGTGTCCAACCCCCCAGAGTCTGGGGACGGGAGCGGATCCGTGAAGGTCAGGGTCTCCCGCGGGGCTTAGTGAGGGAGGTGCAGGTGCAGAGGACAGTCCCTTACACGGCCACCCAGCTGACTCCAGGTGAGTTCAGGCTCCGGGTGGCCCCGGGCCGAGCAGGTCAGCCTGACTTCGTCCCCCTCCGTCCAGCCGCCCTCTGCCTTGGGCTCCATCTCCTCTGCCCTTAGCTCGGGGGACCCTGTGGGTGGGTGGCGACCAGAAAAAAGACAGTGGGAGGCACACGTGGGAAGGGAGAGGAAGGGGAGAGGGGACAGGGGCCAGACCACCCCGCCGGTCCCCCTGGCGGTCTTCCCCACCCGAGCTGACTCCCGCCCCGAACCTTGGACCAGCAGCTTGAAGCTCCGGACGCGGCTGAGGAAGGGGACAGTGGACATGGAGGCCTCGCACACGTAGGTGCCAGCAGAGTCGAAGGTGACGGGGCTCAGAGAGAGTGTGGGGCCGTCCCCCAGGGGCACTGAGTCCTGGGGGGGGAGGAGAAAGCCAGGCAGAGCCATGAGGAAGGGCGGGTGGAGGCCAGGGGTGCGGGCGCAGGCCGGAGGCCCCTTTCCTTCCCACCTTGGTCCAGCGCAGGGTGGGGGCGGGCAGGCCGCGCGCGGAGCAGTTCACTGCGGTTCGGCTGCTGTTGAGGAGCACGGAGAGCTCCTCCCCGGTGCTGAGCTCCAGGGGGTCTAGGTCTGGAGAAGGGGACAGCAAGTCACCTTCCCCAGCCCTCACCCACTCTAGGGCTCTCCAGGGCTGCCCGGGTGGACACTGATGGACAATCGTCAGCAGAGAAGACCTGATTCGGTTCCAGGCCCTTGGGCCACACTTAGGAATATATGCCAAGCTCGGCCACTTTCCTCCAGAGGGGACATCTGAGCCCAAGGTTAAGGGACGACCTTGGGAGAGAGGTGCTCCTGGGACTTTCCAACCTTTTTTTTTTTTTACTGAAGATACTTTACCACTGAGTCACATTCCCGTCCCTTTTTATTTTGGGGGAGGTCTCAGTGAGTTGTCCACTCTGGCCTTGAACTTGTGATCCTCCTGCCTCAGCCTCCCAAGTGGCTGGGATTACAGGCATGTGCCATGGCGCCTGGCCACCCAGACCACCCCTGAGCGACACCCAGGCCTCCATCCTCCCTCTCTCCCAACACCCATCATTTCTCTAAGACTCTATTTGTTCTGCCCCCTCCCCCACGAATCCTCCTGCTTCCTTCCAGCGCTAATCCTTGGGTGCACCTGTCCTGGGTACCCTAACCCTAACCCTAACCCTCCCTGCCTTATTCAGTGAACCCTCCACAGACCAAGTGCATACTGGTTCCATCTCCCCTCTGCTTCAAATCTGGCTCCCTGCTACCCTTGGCGTTATGGCCAAACTCCTTGATGCTGCCCAGGAGTTCCTGCCTGGTCTGGCCCTGTCCCACCTTGTTGCCCATCCCCCACTGTCCTCTCTTGCCTGCTAAGTTCCAGTCACCCTGCCTCTTACTGGCTTTCTCGAGGACACCAAGTCCTGCCCTGCCTCAGGGCCTTTGCACCCACTCACTCTGCCCACAGTGTATCTCATCTAGATCTTTGTGTGTCTGCTTTCACTCTTCAGTTTCTTACTCGCGTGTCCCCTTCTCACAGAGGCCTCCCGGCCCCCTGTTGAGGACACACAGATTTCCTCACAGCACTGAAGGATCTGTTCTCCCAGCTGCTGAGGATAGCAGCTGCCAGCCCTCAGCTGTCAGCCCTCTCTGGGAACTGCCTCAGCTGCAGGGAGCCCCTGGTCCAAGGTCATGCCCCCTTCCCCAGGCAGCACACTGGAAAGGTCCAGCCCACTTATTCCAACTAGGGACAACTGTGAGGGACCGCCCTGGCATCCCAGGTTCCTGTGGGTCCAACCAAGGCCTTCTTTAGACAAGGGCCACATCTTGTCCCCTGCCCAATCTTGCTTCCTCCAGCTCCTGACTCCTAACAGAGGTGGGTGCCCAGGGACTCCCTGGAACTTTCTGCCCCTGGACCCCCATGTCACTATCAGGTGACAAATGGCACACTTTCCCATCTAAAAGAGTCCCCGCTCCTCCGGGCCAGTTCTTGGATCTTATCAGTGTCATGGCACATAGATAACACCGGTGCTAGTGGAAGGGTCTCATTTAGCATTTAACGTCCCTCTTCCCTACCAGGGTGGCTGGAGACTGGTTGGTCTGGCTCACAGACATGTCCCCAGTACCTACTGCAGAGCAGACTCCAGGGAGGGATGCTAAGGAAAGCTGAGCTTTGCCTTGTAAACTGCGCAGGCGTCTTAGAGACCCAGATGTAAGAGACCGGTTGGAAGTCCACGGGAGACAGGATGGGGACTCGCTCAGGTGGGGTGGGGAGAGAGCCTTGAAGGGGAGAAGGGTCAGCGGATAGCGAAGCTGGCCAGGTGGGCCTTGAAAGCTGAGCTTTCTCCCCTGGGCCCTGGGGAGCCGTGACTGGTGCTAAGTGTGTGTGGGGGGATCAGGTGTGTGCTCTGGAAGGAGCTCTCCGGCAGCTGGTGCAGGTACACTGGAGGAGGCAGGCAGGGGCCCCGGGGAGAGGAACAGAGCAGACACCCCAGCAAGACAGCAAGCAGAGGGGAGAGGGAACCAGTACGCACTTGGTCTGTGGAGGGTTCACTGAACAGGGCAGGGAGGGTTAGGGTTGGGTTCCCTGACTGTTCAGCCAAGTCAGGATGAGCAGAGTAAATGCCGGGCTGTGGACGCAGGGCCCCCTCCTGCTATCCCGGGCTCCCTCCTGCTCCCCGGGGCCCCCTCCCGCTCCCCGGGGCGCTCTCTCACAGGCCACACGCAGCTCCAGGGTCTTGGTGAGCTGGACCTCCTCAGCGGCATCGTAATCTTCTACTCTGCAGCCGTAGGTCCCGCTTTGGCTCCGGTTCACCCCCACCAGGGTCAAGTTGCCCTCCAGGTTTATGGTCAGCACTTTCTCCTGCTTGTCCTGGGTGGCCAGAGAGAGGAACCGGGCTCAGGGGCCACCCTGGTCCAGTGGGGTCAGGGGTCACCGTCTCAGGAGCTTTGCAAAGCCCAGAGGCACTCAAGTCCCAATGACAGGTTGGGGTCTGGGGTATGGCTCAGCAGAGCGCTTATCTAGCATGCACAGGCCCTGGGCGCCAGCCCCAGGGCCGCAAAAAAAAAAAAAAAAAGAAAGAAAGAAAGAAAAGAAAGAGTAAAAGAAAAAAGGGAGAAAGAAAAAGAAAAGAAAGTTAGTGCAGGTTAGTAATTGCAGAGATCGGGGCCACGAATCCAAAGGGACTGTGGGATGGGTCACCTGAAGGCGGAAGAACGTGTACTCCGGGCTGGGGCTGCCGTCCCCCTGGCAGAGCAGCTGGATAGAGTCGCCCTCACGTACCCAGCCCTCTGTGGTAGACGGGCTGCCCACCCAGAACCGCACATGTTCCGTGGGATCTGGGGGCAGGGCAGGGAAGACGGGAGTCATGATCAGGGTCAATGTCAGACGAAGAGAGAGACGTCAGCCTTGGCCCAAGGTTAGGGATCGTTTGTTTCAAGGGTCAGTTCATCTTCTGAGAGTGGGCACCAGAGGTCAGAGGTTGATAAGCTGAGGGTACAGGTGAAGGATCAGAGGTGGATGTGGGTGACATGTCAGTGGGACATTTGGGGCCAGATGTCATGTGGGGACCCTGTTCAGTGTGAGAGGGTGGAGCAGTCCACGGGGTTTGAGGAGCCAGCAGAGGTCAGGATGGGGCCTGAGTTATCATCTGAGGTCAGAGGCCAGAGGTCAGCAGCCAACACCTCTCATGTTTCAGCAGGAGGTGGGGTGAGCAGAGGGGAGCGTGGAGGGTTGGGCCTCCGTGTGGTGTGGATCCCAGGTCAGGGCTTGGGGGACCATGGGGACTCACAGTGCAGGGTGAGGTGGAAGGGGCTGCTGTCCAGGCGGCCCTGGTTACCCAAGGGCAGGCTGTAGTGCGCAGCGCAGTGGAAGCTGGCCTCCCGGTCCAACTTGCGGGGCCGCAGGTAGAGGGTGCTGGTGAGGGACTGCAGGCCCGAGGCCTCGCGGACTGTCCGGCTGGTCATGTAGCCCTCTAGGAATGAGGGAGGGGGCGCTCAGCCAGCCTCCTGGCCTGGCCACTCCCACCTGGGGCTCTCTGGGTCCCTGTGCTGCTCACCAGAATTCACCTCCATGGGCACGTCCAGGAGCTGCCCGTTTCTATACCACGTGATCCGGGGGGCTGGGTTCCCATTCCGGCTGCTGCAGGTGGCAATCTGAGGCAGATATGGGCGTGGCCCTGGGCTTTGGGCCAGGACCCTGAAGTCTGGGTCCCCTCTTCCCTCCATCTCTCCCCATTAGATGCAGGAGTCCGGGCTCCCTCTCCCCAGAGCCCTGTCCCCTGCTGCTCAGACTAAGCAGCCCAGAGCCCTCCCCCCCTCAGGACCCTGGCATCAGGGTTGTCCCGAGGTACCTCTTGGGCCAACTCTTCCATCACGGACAGCGTCCCTCGGTTGGGGTTCACCTCAGTGGTCTCTGGTATTGCTGTGGGGAACACGTTCATGTCAGGAGGCCTTCCCCGGATCCTCGCCTGCCTGGCCCCTCTTGGGGTGCCTGGGGACACTCACCGAACACGCGGAGCTTTGCGGTGGCCTCAGTGGTGCCCGCAGCCCCAGCTCTCAGCACGCACACATAGTCCCGCTCGTCGCCCACCTGGGCCTGGGGCAGCACCAGGCGCCCCTGGGAGTCCAGCTGGTACGGGGGGCTGCGGCCCCGGAAGTCATGCACTGTGCCTTGGAGCTGGGAGCCCTGCTGCTCAACAGAGGCCAGGCGGTGGCGCGTGCCGGAGCGGTCGGTCTGTGTGTGGGGGATGTCTCAGCTCTGGCCACCGAATCTCACTCTGTCACCCTCCCTGTCCTCCTGCCACCTCATGGGTCTGTCTCGTCCTCCTGCTGCCATCCTGGCCTCTCCCCTCCCTTCCTCTGTGTCCCTCTCCCCCATCTCTGTGCCCGTCTCTCCTCCCTGGCTCCACTCTGCTGCCCTCAGTTCTCACTTCCTCTCCTCCTCTCCAGGCTCCGGCTTTCTCAGTGTCTGTCCCCATGTGGTCCCTCTCCCGAAAGCCAGCGTTCTGAAGGACTCCCTCTATCCTCAGCCCTGTCCAGGACCTTGGAGAGGCCTTTCCCCTCTCCCCTGGCCGAGCCCCAAGTTCCCATCTGTAAAGTGGAAACACAGATGGACGGCCCTTTCAAAGCCCTCTGGATTCTGAAGAGGACATCCCGGGTGTGTCCTGATTCCCTGTCCCTCCTGCTCCCCAGCCTGGTCCCCAGACCCCCAGCCAAACACTCACAAGGAACCATTCCAGCACAAAATGGTCAGGGTTCTCCAAGGGGGTACAGTCCAGGGTGACGGGCTTTCCTTGCATCACCTCCACCAGTGGAGGCACAGACACATGCACCTTGGCCTGGGAACCTGCAGGACAGCAGTCAAGCTCTCCCACGGCCACCTACAGAGCCCCTTCCAGACAGGACCCAGGGTCCAGGCCCAGCCCCCTCCCTCAGACCCAGCCTCCTCCCTCAGGGTCTGTGTCTCCCAGCCCCATGAGCATTTCTTGCCCTGTCTCCCTTCACCTGCAGAACTAAAGCCCCCCCCCCCCCCCCCCCCCCCCCCCCCCCCCCCCCTCACCCCGCCCCCCCCGCCCCCCCAGCCACCCCCCCCCCCCCCCCCCCCCCCCCGACCATCCCCCCCCCCCCCCCCCCCAGTGTCCCTGGGATTACACTTCATCTGTCCTGGCTTCTTCACTAGAGCAAACGCCCCTCAAGGGCAGGGCCAGGCCTGGCTCCTCCCCTGCCTCCAGCACCCTGGGCAGGGACGGTGCAGCGACACACCGTAGAGGTCTCGCTCCACCGGCACCTCTCACCCCGGGTCTCCTGCTCAGCCCCTGGCCCCGCCTTTCCCTGCTCTCCCCCAGACTCCATCTCTGAGCTCCTGGGCCCTTCTGCTCTCTCATGCGTGGGGGGCTGGGGTGTGGGCTGCTGCTGAGGGCCGGAACTGAGGGCTGAGGCAGGGATGGGTGTGTGGGGGTGGTGAGGGGGGACAGGGCTGGGCAGGTTTCAGGAATGTGGGAGGGACAGGCTGGCTGAGACCTGCCCAGCCTGGCGCCAGAGCCCCCTACCCGCCCCTTGGCCCCCCTGTCTCTTTAATAGAGCAGTGAAGAGGGTAAGGTGAGTCACCTCAGCACAGGAGAGGGGCAGGCCAGGATTTGGGGTCCAGAGGGAGAAGGCAGATGGGGACCTGGACTCAGGTCCTAGGGAGAGGGGCTGGGGGCCTGGACTCCCAGGGCCTGGAGGCGTAGGAGGCTGGGTCCCAACTCCCATCAGGTCCTGGCAGATAGAACAGTTCCTGCGGGAACTCCATGCGCTCCTTACCCTCTGGGCTGGCATCCTGGCACCGCCCTCAGTTCTTAGAACTTGTCTACCGCTCCCCGCCCAGCCTGGCCCAGGCCTACCCCTGGGGACCCACTATTTACCATGCTTGTACCAATCCAGGCCCCAACTTCTGGCCCCAGTTTCCCCCAGGGGAGTGAACAGGGGCCAGGCTGGTGCACGGGGATGGGTCTGAACAGCAGACAGCCAGGATAGGCAGAGATGCCCTCTCTCTCTTCTTGATCTCTTTCATATGCCTGTTCCCTTGTCCCCAGCCTCAGGGTCCTCTCCCCTCCCTCCACCTTGCAGGTGCATGGATTTATCTGGGGCCCCAGGAAGGGGATCTGTCACTCGGAAACACTTTGTTCCACCGTTGACTGCCCAGGGCTGGTACTCTGGCCCTTTCCAAGGGAGGCCCATTCTTTATTGAACTGGGACTCTGAATTTAGGCTGGGGACATCCTCAAATTGTATGAATCACTGGTTTAGGCATAGGGTCCCTACCTTTTCATAGGGGTGCCTATATCTCTCGAAACTTGAGAATCTTTGAGGGGACAGCTCTGGGGTTTTGGTCTTCTGTGTCATGGGGAAAGCCACCTTGGCCACCAGGCGCTTGGACTCTTGGGTCTGAGGGAACAGGAGCCGAAGGGCTCAGATTCTAGGGGACACGGCCCAGATTCCAGGGTCCCCGACTTGGGAAGGGTCTCACTTCTCAGGTGGTCTCTTCCCCAACTTTCCTGCCTGACTGTCCCAGTCTCTCGATAGGAGGGGCACTTCCCCACGCCACCTTGTCCCTCCTCCGGGGGATCCCCAGATTTTGCTTCCTGGGGCGAGCGAGGGGCCCTTCCCCTCGCCTTCCCGCGTCCCCGGGGGCCGCCCCCAGTGCCGCCCTGCTCTCCGCGGGAGCCGTACCTGGGTGCGCCGCCAGCAGCAGCGCGAGCCACAGCAGGCGCGGGGCCGGGCGCGCGGTGGCGCGGGCGTCCGGGGGCTCCATGTTCGCAGCGGCGGCGGCGACTGAGCCGGGCTGGGGCTCCGCCGCTGCGGGGCTGGCACAGAGGCCCCGCCCCGGTTCCGCCCAGGCCACACCCCCTCGCCAACCTGGGCGCAGCGCCAGGACCTCCCACTGCCCGGGTGGACCTCCCACCGCCCCGCGCGGACCGGCCAGAGCTCTGTCGTCCTCGCCCCAAGCACCCCCCCACGGCTGTCCCGCTTCTGCGGAGCAGCGCCTGCGGCGGGGGACCCTGACCAACCAGTCTGGCCAGTGGATGTCCCGATCTGGCATCTCAGCGGACAATCGCGGACCCGCTCCCCTTCATTCTACCCGGGGCCTTGAGACTCATTTCCACTATGGCAAGTAGCCTGGGCTTGCGTCGTGGATTTTACACCGAGTGGCCAGCAGTGGCCTCTCCCAGTTTAGCTAGTGGCCCCCAGCATTACCAGTGTCCCAGAGCAACTGCTCCCAGTCTGCCCTGTGATGTCCTTCCCTGTGGCGGCGCCACTCACGTGACCGGTCAGTGGCTTGGAACTGACCAGTTCAATCTCTTATCTCGAATGGTCTTCAATCTCAGTTCCGCCTAGGCCTCTGTAAGGATGCGACGGAGGGGCCCGGGGCTCGCTCCCTCTCTCTGCCCTGGAAGGCCCGCCCTCTCTTCTCCCCATCCAGGGAATCCCAGGAATGTCACCCCCCTTCCTGCTTCTTCTCTCCCCTTCATTCCCTCCCCACCTTGGGGGAGGGGAGGAGAATCCTGCTGGCGGGGCAGGTGAGTGGAGGAGGGGAGGAGGCTAGGGCACCTGGGGAGGGCGGAAGAGCCCAGCCTTGGTTGCAAGGGAGCGTTAAAGTCTGACTGAGGGAGGTCACAGATCAGACCCTCAGGACTTCTCACGGCCCAAATCGGACTGGAACAAAACCCCTAGGGTGCTGGTTGGGGCTAGGGGAAGGCGGGTGGCACTGGGTGTCTGGGAGAAGCTAGTCTAGGACCTTAGGCAGAATGTGGGGTCACTGGTCATGTTGGGAGAGGTTCCTCAGGTCTCTCAGATCATTCACTGGTAAGAATGGAGCTTTCTGCCCCTGGACCTCCATGTCACAATCAGGTGACACAGACTGTAAACCTCCCCCCTGGGTCCCTGGCTTTGCCTATTTGACCAGAGGGAGGGCTCAGTAACAGGTCAGCCTGGGAATTATTGGCCAGACTGGTCAAAGCTACTTTTTTTTAATCCATTAGTCATACAGGAGAGCCATTGTTACACTGGGAAAGGTGACCTTTGGGTATTAACATCACTACCCCCTCCTCCAGGAAGTCCTCCTTCAGGCTCCCCCATTCTTCTCAGTCCCCTGGGACCCCCACCTCAGCCCTGTGCACTCTGGGTAGTCCCTGTCTGTTGGAATAACTTTCAGTCGCAGCTAGCAAGCATCTAGGAGCAGCTCAGAAGTGCTTGAAATGTCCACGTTTGCTCAGGCCTGACAGGAGGGCCTGCAGGGTGGGGTGGAACCACATACTCAGCACTTGTGGTCAGCGTTGCCAAACTACTGGGCAAAGGGGCTTCAGGGCATGAAACCCCTGACTCAGTAAGGGCCAAAGACCCTTCCAGATTGCTTTCCACCACGACAGCAATATTTAGAGTTTCCTCACGGTGCAGTTACTTTAGGCAGAAGATGACTGGCTTATGGATATTGTCTTGCTTATGTATGATTGACGGGCACGCCCCACTTGAACCCTGTAACAGTTGTGTGCATTCCAAAAAGAAACTGAGCTACTGGACGACGACTTGAGGGGGGTCTCCAGCCAGTTCTCTCCCCAGCTCCCAGCGTCTGTGTGTTGATTCCGCGTTTCTACCCCCCACGACAAGGTAGCCGAGTGACCATCAACCATGAAGGGACTGAGGAACACATACACCTGTCTGCATTGGGTCTGTCTCCCCCACTGGACCATGAACCCTGTGAGGGTCGGGGCTCTCTGGGTTACCGTTGTGTCCCCCACCCAGACCCAAAGCAGGTACTCAGGGAAGGTTTGCAAGGTGCAAACTCAGGGGTCCACAGGCTTACATGCAAATTCCACCCAGACTGGTCATCGCAGGACACACTACATGGACACAGTCACCTTCCAAGACAGCCCCAAGGGCTCCCTAGGACAAGCTTACACCCTGGGACCCCAGACAGCAACTCCCTGGCTCTTCTGTCCCTGGCTTGTGGGCCTGCTTACCTGGGCAGGACTTGGGTAGGTGCCCTCGTCAGCCACCTGCTCTCCACCTTCAAGAACCCAGCCTGGGCTGGGGATGTGGCTCAAGAGGTAGCGCGCTCGCCTGGCATGCGTGCGGCCCGGGTTACATCCTCAGCACCACATACAAAGATGTTGTGTCTGCCGAAAACTAAAAAATAAATATTAAAAAATTCTCTCTCTCTCTCTCTCTCTCTCTCTCTCTCTCTCACTCTCTCTTTAAAAGAAAAAAAAAGAACCCAGCCTGTTAAGGTGCCGGGTGAGGCCAGATGTGTAAGAAAGAGAGAAGTCAGACACCCCAGCTTTGGCTTCGCACAGACTTGCAGGAACTGCTATTGTTAACGTCAACTGCCTGTCATCTACAATTTAGTCTCACTAGACAGCCACAGGGATCTTGTTAAAAATCTGCTTGTGTCAACCTTGGCTTCTGTCTCACAGTAAAAACTAACGTTCTATCTGTGGCTTACAAGACCCTGGCACCTCCCTGATCCCACCTACCACCCACATGGGTCCCTGCTGCCATGCCGTTCCTCCGACACACCAGCTTCAGCCCCAGCATCTGCTCTCCCCTCTGCTGGGCCAGTCCTCGCCTGAGCAGCTTCCGCCTGGCTTCCAATCTCCTGTGACCCCCCCCCCCCCAGTCATCATCGTTAAGGTTCTGCTTGGCCATCCCATCTCGGGGCCCCTCCTGATCTCCCTTCTCTTACCACGCTTTTTCCTCCATAACGTTTATTGCTGCCAGATCCAGTATGTTTATTTTTTTTATTGCTTGGCACAGACTCTAAACTCCAAGAGCAAAGGGACTGCTCTGCTTCGCCGCAGTGCCTAGGACAGTGCTTGGCATGGGATGAATAAACATTGTGCACTGAATTAAATCATTTTCCAATTCCGTCCTCGCGAGCTCATATGTATAGACACAGGCGTGCGTCACTTAACAACCGGGGTGTGTTCCGAGAAAGGCGTTGTCAGGCAATTTTGCCACCGGCTGAACATCACAGTGGCCTCGCACAGCCCAAGACGGCTATGACGTCACTGGGCCATGTGATCTTATGGGACCACTGTTGCAGTTGTGGTCCATTGTCGACTGAGAGATACTTAGGTGATGTGCCACGTGACTGTATACAGCAGTCCTTGGCTATCCATGGGAGATTGTTTTCGGGAGACCCCTCCCCAGGATGCTCAAGTCCCTTACATATAATGGCACTGTATTTGCATATAACCTATGCACACACCCCCGTATACTCTAAATCATCTCTCAATGCCTTATAATGCCTAATACAATGTGTGATATAATCAATATACTCTATTGTTTAGAAAATAATGACAAAAAGTCTGCACGTGTTCCATATAGATGTATTTTTTTCCTGAATATTTTAGATCCAAGTTTGGTTGGATCCTTGCAGATCTGGAAGGCTGACTCTTCTCATAGACAAGTCTTATCTTTTTCTCATTTGTTTTATATATGGTGTAGCCTAATTAGCTTTCAGAGGAGTCCACAGCTTGCAGAAGATGCTCGTCATGGTGTGTGGAGGGGAATGGTTCTTCCCCCATGGTTCCAGACTTGGATCTGGAAAATGGAACTGTTGATATTTGGTGTCATATGAATGCATTTTTTTTTTTTGGTTGAGCAAAAAGAGTTACTTGTACAGCGAGAGTTTAAAGAATAGCTACTGCCTAAAGATGGCTGCACCCAATTTGTCATTTTTGCATGGTCACCTGTCTCGAGCCATCCATGGGCTGCGTGTGTGAGCTCTGTGCATTTGAGCAGTATGAGGGGACTGGTGTGGCCTTGCACACTGATTGGGCTCGTGACGCAAATGTGCCTTTCCTCTCCCTCTGCCTGTGATCCCCCACAGCACCTGAAATGGGTGTGACTTGCCAAAATGTCAATCAATCTGCTGACCACAAGACATCACAAAGCAAGACTCCACCTTCCAAACCCCATTCTCTGCCTTATTTGGTGAAGAACATTCCATCCAACCTCCCTATAGATGCAATTTTTTCCCTGAATATTTTAGATCCAAGTTTGGTTGAATCCTCGCAGATCTGGAAGGCTGTGTGTGTCCCCCCTCTAAAATAAAAAGAATCCGGTACATGCTCTCTTTCTAGCACTGCCCAGCGAGGAGCTGACCCTTGGGGTCACTGAACAGTCCCGCCCTTGACCTTAGAAACTCATGTTCCTGTGCTGCATGGTTTCTTCGCCGTTTTCTTAATTACTGATATAGTCAGCTCCTTTGAATACAGCTCATCTCGCCAGCCTGGCCAGCTGGCGACAGTCACCTACAGAGCTGGACCTCCCATCAAGAGGTCAGACTTGCCAGGTGTGGTGGTGCACATCTGTCATCCCAGAGGCTTGGGAGGCGGAGGCAGGAGGATTGCAAGTTCAAAGCCATGCTCAGCAGTTTAGCGATGCTCTGAGCAACTTAATGAGACCCTGTCTCAAAATGAAAAAAGACTGGGAATGTGGCTCAGTGGTAAAATGCCTCTGGGTTCAATCCCCAGTACCAAAAGTCACCTCTGTGTTGGATGCACAGTTGGTTGAATCCTGGGTGCAGAGGGATGGAGGTGGAGGCCGGCCTTCCTCACAGGAAACCCACCAAGCACTCCCTGGAGCAGCTGTGCTGGGGGGGCCCACGCCAGCAGGTCCAGAGCCCACTCTTGGAAGTGTGGAGACTTCAGAGACCCTGGCCAGCCTCCAACCACTCTGCGCAGGGTAGCCTGGAACCATGGACGGCTCCATTTGATGGCACCCACTCCCAGGGTGGAACCACTCAGCCGAGCCCCACCCTGGATCCGCCCAGCACCCTCAGCACTAAGGCAACCGTTGCCATCCTGCGCCGATAAGTTGGAGAGGATTTGTGATGAGCGCAGCTAATGAATGGGGCAGCCCGTCCTGCTTCTAGGGCGGCTCGGGCAGTGGGGTGACTGCAGTGTCCGGTGCTCATCGGGCACCAGCGTGTCCTCATCAGACTGGTTCTGTGGGGTGACTGTGGCTGGTGGCCGGTGCTGGCTGGCTGCCAGTCTTCTTGCTCCTTTTCCAATCCTGGCTCTCCTGTTTACTCCCGGTTTCTGTGAGTGACCCAGAATCCTCTCAATAGGTTCCCTTTCTGTCCCAAGAGGCGGCTTCTGTTGCTTGGAACTCAGTCTGTGATACATTTCAAGCCCCTTGCCATGGCCGTCTGGGCTCAGAGTCTCCTCCTGGAAGCCTTCCTGGCTTTTCCAGGCTGGGTCAGGCGTCCCTGTGCACTCCTGCAGCCCTGGGGTCCCCCACCCCAGCCGTGCCCACCCTGGGCTCCAGGTCTCTCTCCCCCACTGGACTCTGAGCTGCAGGGCGGGCAGTGGCCGCTGCTCAGCCCAGGGCCTGGCACAGGGCCTGCCCTCAGGGTGGGGGCTGGGTTAGCCTGACGGGAGGGAGCTGGGTCCCTTGGGATTAGTGAGGCCATGGGAGATGCTTTCCCGGTGCCACCTCGCCTGGCAGAAGGACCCACGGGGAATGGAGAACGAGCGATAAGAGCAGGTCGTGGCGAGCCTGGGAGCCCAACTAGCTCCCAAGGAATCACGGGCTCTTTTTGACCAGGGCCGCAGTTCTGGGATGAGTCCGGGGTGATTTTGCGGTGACAGAGGAGGCAGGGGTCTGGTTTGCCGACAGCTTGGGAGGCAGGACTCCTGGAGCTGGCGGAAGAGGCTGGGGACCCCATTCCCTGGGAAGCTCTGAGGGTAGATGGGGCCAGGGCCCAGCCTCTGGAGTGGACCAGGAGGGCATCAGGCCCCGGGAACGCCCTTTCCCAGTGCCAAGCTGCCCCCTGGTGGCCGCTGCCCTGCTCCTTACACACGGGAGGACCCACCAGGCTTGACAGTTTATTTCTGCCTCACAAGCCCCGTCCACCCCTGCGGCTCCTTCTGCAGCTCATCTGGGCACCCTGCGATGCAGAGAGACGCGGGCGTGAGATCACTCCCCTGGGCAGAGCGGGCGGAGGGCATGGGGCTAGCTGGGGAGGGAGCCTGGAGAGTCTGGGGCTCACCTGGCCTCCAGCGTGGGGTGTGATCGCGGGTCCCACAGGGGCGGCTGGGGGCAGGAGCTTCCCTTTAGAAATTTCTGCAGGGGAGGGAGTTGGGGGCCGTGAGCTTCCTGAGTCCGGGGTGTTTCTCCCCCACCTTCTTCACCCCCGAGTCTCGGGCCAGCTGTCTTTCCACTTACTCTGTGGCCCCCTCGGTGGTCTGGGGGCAGGAGGTGACATCCCAAGGGGCTGAGGCCACATTCCTGATTCTCGGCAAGGGAAGGGGAGGCCTGAGCCTGGGCAGAGGCAGAGGGGCCTGCAGGGGAAGAGATTCAGAAATGTCCCAGGTGAGGGGCGGCCTAGGGACTGGCAGTGCCAATTCACAGGGTGACACCGTGGTGGGCGAGGGGCCCTGTGACAGAGTCTTATCCCTAATCCATGCCGTCTTTTCCCCTCATGCTTCTGCCTTGAGTGGGAAAACGTTCTGTCTTGTCTGTCCGTCCGTCTGTTCATGCCTCCATCCCCTTGTCCATGTATCCCACAAACATTCCCTGAGCATCTGAGTTCAGAAATGTGGATAAGACAGAAAAAAATAAATAAAAACTTCCCGTGCCGGAGGAACCAAGGTCTGCTGAGCCATCAGCTCACAAACCAGGAAGTATCCTGTGTTCCAGGTCTTTCTGAGTGCGTGGGGGGGGGGGGCAGGGGAGGGCGGGGTGACCAAGACAGGAGGGCGACCAGGGAGGCCTCCAGGAGCCGGGACTGATTGGGCCGAAGCCTGAGCACAAAAAGGTGGCAGGGAAGTGGGGGTCTGCGGGCTCCTTGGAAGGTCAGCGAGGGGCTCACGGGAGCAGGGGCTGGATCTGCAGGCCCTATGGAGGGAGCAGAGGGCTTCCCTGGAGTCCCGGAGGCCTGAGAAATGGCAGGGGATCTGATTTGGGTTCTGGTCGCCAGATCTCTCCGGCTTCACAAGCCTGAGGGTTCAGTGACCCGTGGTGTGCCAGGGTCTTGCTCAGTGACGGGGTCATCCCCTAGAGGTGGGTTTCTAAGACGGAGAACAGCGGTGTGCAGGGAGGTGCCTGATGACAGAGCCCCATGTGCAGATCATGACGGCAGTGACAGGCCACGGACACAGCCCACCGCATCCAGAGCCCATGGTGGACTCCGTGGCAGAGACGACCATCCCGCCCACTGTACAGACCAGAGGGTCCAGGCCCACAGAGGGGTGGAACATGAGTCCTGGCAGGTAGAGCCAGAGACCTGGGTCCTCATTCTGACTCCATCACCCGTGGGCTGTGTGACATTCAGCTCCTGAGCCTCACTGTCCCCCTCTGTAATCATAACAGGGCTGTCGTGACTTTATCTATTTATTAATTTGTTGTACTAGAGATTGAAGTCAGGGGCACTTTCCCACTGAGCCACATCCCCAGCTCTTTCTATTTTTTATTTAGAGCCAGGGTCTGGCTGAGTTCCTGAGGCTGACCTTGAACTTGCCATCCTCCCACCTTGGCCTCCAGGGTCACTGGGATCACAGGTGTGTGCCTGCTCCTGACCTGTGGTGACAACTGAATAGGTTCAAAAACAGTGCCAGGGCTGGGGTGTAGCTCAGGGGTAGAGGGCTTGCCTGGCAGGTGGGAGGCCCTGTGCCAAGCCCATAGCAAAAGTCACACATTAACTGTTGTCATGATGACAGTCACCTTGCTGAGAAGTAGCAAGCCCAGGGCTTTGTCTTTTGCTGTGCTTTGAAAAATGAAAGAGCAGGCATAGCTGGGTGGGCACGGTGGTGCACGCCCATAATTCCAGCCACTTGGGAGGCTGAGGCGGGAGGATTGTAAGTTTGAGGTCAGCCTCAGCAACTTAGCAAGGAGGCCCAGTCTCAAAATTAAAAACAAGGGGGGTAAGGGGGTACTGGGGATGTGACTCAGTGGTTAAGTGCCCCGGGGTTCAGTCTCCAGTACCAGAGAGAGAGAGAGAGAGAGAGAGAGAGAGAGAGAGAGAGAGAGGCAGCAGCTGTTGCCTGGAATTTGAACCAGGAAGGCCTGGGGAGGAGGAAGAGGAAGGGGTTTGCCAGGAGGGAGGGCACTGGCAGGTGAACGCATGCCCATCCGACCGGAGGTGCCCCTCAGCCCTGTTCCCGGCTGGCAGTGTCCCCTGGCTGTCCCCAGGGAGCCGCTGAGTGCCTCCTAATGTTTCCATTTGCTGTTGGCTGCAGGTCCAGGTCTGTTTTTAGCCTCCCCGCCGCACCCCCAGGCCCGCAGCCCCCTTCCTGCCGGCTCCTTGTTTGCTGTGGTCGCTAATGTTCCCGGACTTCCTGCCTTGGTTGGAGGTCGGCGCAGTATTGATCCAGGCGGGGCCTGCTCCCGCGCACTGCCCCTCCCCGCCAGGCCAGGGCCTCTGAAACTCCAGGGGTGGGAGTGGGGGAGACAGCAAGGCCCGACGCCCTTAAAAAATCAGCCCATGGGGGCTGGGCTGGGGCTCGGTGGGCAGAGCATTTCCCTGGAAGCTCAAGGCCCTGGGTTCCATCCCCGGCACGGAAAAAAAAAAAAAGCAGATGGTTTTGGGGGGTGCTTAAAGACCCCAATGCTGGCTTATCCTTTTTCAGGCTGTGTGGCTTCAGGCCATCTCAGCCACCTCTCTGAGTGTTTTTCTTGTAGAAAATGAGGAGAGAAACATTTTCAGCTTTATAGGGCTATTGGGAAGACTGGGCTCTGTTTATTCAACCCCTATTTATTGAGCACCTGTCAAGTATCAGTGTCAGGCACTGTTCTAGACTCTGGAGATAGACGAGAGAATAAGGGGCTGGGGCTGTAGCTCAGTGGTGAAGCGCTTGCCTGGCATGTATGAGGCACTGGGTTCGATCCTCAGCACCACATAAAAATAAATAAAGACATTGTGTGTCCATCTACAACTAAAAAATTAAAAAAAAAAAAAAGGAGAAGAGAGAATAAGACAAAATCTAGACCTAAAAAGGGGTTTGGCTTAGGAAACGACACCTCCCACCCTGCCAGGTGGGGAAAATCACCAAGAGAGCATCACAGGGTGGGGTTGGAGGGTCAGGGAAGGCCTCCCGGAGAGGAAGTGGGAAACTGAGCCTGGGGAAAGGCACGCTAGGCCAAGGGGACAGCTGGTGCAAAGGCCCTGAGGTAGGACATGTCCTGGACACGGAAGGAGAGCAAGAAACCAGTGAGAGGGATGAGTCAAGAGGAAGGCAGAGGAGAGGCCACGGAGGTGGCAGATGCCAGACCACAGCAGGGACTCACCACGGGTGCTGAGGAGGAGCACCAAGCCTGAGCCTCAGAGCCCTCAGCACCACCACCACAGGACCCTGGGGCTGAGCGAGAGACCACCCTGCCCACGCCCCCACCCCAGCCCAGAACAGCAACACTCACCACCTTCAACTGGCCTTCACTTCTGGGTCTCCCTGAGGACAGATCTAGCCGAGGGGGCAGTGGGGGAGCAGAGGGGGCCACCTAGAGGAGACGGCGGAGAGGGGTTGTGAGCGGCCATTTTCTTCACGCCCACAGACGCTTCTGCCTGGAGGCAGGACCGGGCACAGCTCTAGACTCCAGATATAACAGAAAGCAAGACAGAGTCCCAACCCTCAGGGGACAGCATGAGAAAGCCACAGCCCCAGGCCCTGGGGGAAGCAAACACCCAGGCCTCTAGCACCCAAGGTCCAGGCCCAGCCCCCTCCCTCAGACCCAGGGTCCAGGCCCAGCCTCCTCTCTTAGCCCTAGGGTCCAGGCCCAGCCTATCATCCATCAGGCCCCGGGGCCCTGTTTCTGGCCCTGCCCATCCTGCTTACCTGCTCCAACTCCCCGTCTTCCTGGTCACTGCTGTCCTCTGGGTTCTCAATGGTGGCCTCTGCTGCTGGCCTCCCTTGGAACTGATAGATGCTCACAGCCTCTCGGCCCTTGATCTCCCGTCGGCAGAAGGGGCAGGTCTGACTCTCTGCGTGCTGGCGGGGCGGAGGACAGGTCAGCGTCTCCCTGTTCTGCACCACGTCCAGTCCCTCGTCCTTGGGGACTGGGAGGACCTCTACCTCCAACCCAGCGACAGGAGGAGCCAGGGACAGGGAGGGAGGGGGCGGGAGCCGGGAGGGGTGGGAGGCAGGGAAGAGCCTGGGAGCCAGGAGCGCCCAGGGGCCAGCGGGACCTGGGCAGCAGCCTCAGGCAGGGCCTTTGCCAGGGGCATTGTGGGTCGGGCCGCTACTCTGGCCTGTGGGGGTCCCTGTCAATAGCCCTGTGCTCCCAGGCTGAGGCCCAGAGAGGCAGAGCTACTGGCTCTGGATTGCGCAGCCCTTTTCACTGATAACTGGTCTGAGAAGGAGAGCTGGGTCGCGGGTCGCGTGCAGGCCGAGGTGACACAGACCAGCTGCAGACACTGGCCCCCGAGGGAGCCCGGGCAGGGCTCTGTCCCCGGCCTCAGTTTCCCCATCTGAAAACGAGGCGCCTGGGAAATGCTGTCGGGGCTTTTCCTGTAGAGGGGAGACCGGGCGAGCCGGCAGGAGAGGTCAGCCCCACCTGCCACGCAGCCAGGCAGTGGCTGCAGAGCAGGTGGCCGCACGGCTCGATCCTCACGTCCTTGTCCCTCTCGGCGCAGATCTTGCAGAGCTCGAAGGTGGAGTTCATGGCCCAGTACAGCTGCAGCTGCTCCTGACAGGTGAGGCGACAGGGAGGACAGAACAGGTGGGCGAGACCCTGGGAGGACAGGAAGCAAGTCCCCACCCCTGTGTCCACCCTGAAGCCTCCCCCAAGTTCAAGGTCGCGGGTGTGCAGGGCCTCCCATGCCTCCTCTCTGGGGTTATCTACCCCGGGGTTGTCAGAACCACGTAGGATGCCCCGGGAAATGTGAAGTTCAGGTGAGCAGTGAACAGAATTCGAGCATAAGTTTATCCCAAATATTGCATGGGATATACTTACACTAGATTTGTTTTTCTTTTTTAATTCTTGGTTTCTCTTCCCCCTGGAATGGCTCCAAAGACTAAGCACTGGCGCAGGGCTGTCACTGGTAGGCACTCAAGTGCATTAGCTGTTCTGATGACCTAACCAGATCTTATTTCCTTGTTTAATCCCCATGAGAACCCCCGGGAAGGAGGCAGGAGGAGCTGCAGTTTCCACAGGATGGCCTGAGCCTCAGAGAGGCCAAGTAATTTACCCAAGGTCACAGAGCCATGAGGCCAGCACTCCGACCCAAGGCCAAGGTGTCCGAGCCAAGGCCGGGTGGGGATGGCAGGGGCAGTGAGGGGACCGGGGCCCTCACCTCCGACACATGGATGCGCTGGTGGGGTTCTGCGCGGCAGAGCTCTGTCAGGTCTGGGTTGTGCTTCTTCCCATCGGGGTAGAGGTAGCTGGGGAAGGGGAGAGGGGGACCCTGAGGGGGTTCCCAGGGCCCACCCCACACTGACCAGGACCCGCTCCCACAGCCTGGGGATATCTCCCTTCTTTATCCTGGGATTTCCAGAGCAGGTGTGTCCCTTGGATCCCCAGGGCAGGGCTGTGTCCCTTGGCTCTAGGAGCAGGGTCAGAGCCCAGAGGCTGAGTGAATCCACAGGCCGAGGCCCCTGGGACCCCCTGCCGCCTCCAGGCCCGGCCATGACAGATTTTAGAGTTGGGGCGACCAAATCCTAGGATCTTCCAATCTGAGGACTACGAGATGGCCTCGGGGGCCATCAGCACCGCTTCTCACCTTACACAGTGCCCCGAGGCTCACACAGCAAGACCCAGAGCTGGACTGGCCGGCTCTCAGGACGGGCCTCCCGGGCAGCTGAGAAGGCTCTGGACCCTCTGGGGTCCCATCTGGTCATTACTGCAGTCTCAGGCCAGCCGCAGAGTCACAGGACTGCTGACTGGACCCTACTGTGGCCCTTCCTAGGCTGGGCAATGCTACCTCCCTGGCCTCAGTTTTCCCATCTGTACAATGGACAGGATCCGACCAGGGGCAAAGGTGGATAGCAGAGACTAAGACAAGGCCCATAGGAGGGGGCAGCTAGGGTGACTTCAGACCCGGAAGGCCACCATGCTGGGACACACAGCTTGGTGTCCCTCCCCTCTCTCAGGCCTTGGTTTTCTCATCTGCAAAATGTTGGGAGCTGGCAACACACACCGGGTGCTGGGCAAGGGCTCCTTCACTGAGCCCCAGCCCCAAACTATTTTTTTTTTTTAATGCGGGAGGCGGGGGTGAGCCCAGGGCACTTAACCACTGAGCCAGGTCCCCAGCCCTTTTTATATTTAATTTAGAGACAGGGTCTCGCTGAGTTGCTTAGGGCCTAAGTTGCTGAGGCTGGCTCTGAACTCAAGATCCTCCTGCCTCAGGCTCTCAGCCACGCCATTGGGATGACAGTGTGCCCCTGGCCCCTCTCATCTGTTTGTTTGTTTGTGTAGTTGGACAGCATGTCTTTGTGTGTTTATTTTTATGTGGTGCCAAGGATGGAACCCAGTACCTCACACATACCAGGCAAGTGCTCTGCACTGAGCCACAGCCCCCGCCTCTCATTTGTTCTTAACCCTGGGATCCTCTTCTCCAAGAACTCTGACCTGGAGCCGGCAGATGACTCAGGATTCGGTGGGTTCTGTGAGCCAGGGCTGCTCTGAGCCTGGCTGCCCGACTTCAAACCCCAGCTCAGTACTCTGTAGCTGTGCGACCTGGACAAATGTCTCTGCCTCTCTGTGCCTGTTTCCTGAGCTGTCAAGTAGGGAGGTAATAAACGTACATGTAGGGGCTGGGGCGGTGGCTCAGTGGTAGAGCGCTTGCCTCTCATGTGCGAGGCACTGGGTTCGATTCTCAGCACTGAGTATAAATAAATAAAGTCCATTGACAACTAAAAACAGGTCCATGAGCGTGTCTATACAAGAGGTCGTTATTTGCGGATTGCGGATTTGCCTGTCTCTAACATCGATGTGAAACCCTCAATCAATACTCTTGTGGCCATTGACGGACATGCGCAGAGTCGTGATGGCTCTGAGCCCTCTGGTGCTCCTGGTTGGCTGGGGCGGGACAAGCAGCTGTGCCTGCCAGGGCTTGGCTCCTGGACTGTAACCCAGTGTCTTTGTCACAGTCTGTTCAGTGCCACATTCCTCCCATTTTCATGCTTTTTGTTGATTTGCTGATTTAAAGGGCCCCAAGAGTGGAACTAAAGTGCCATCTATTTGCCTAAGGGAGAGGGGGCTGGGACGGGACTTAGCCAGAGAATGTGCTGGGCAACTCTGTTCCCGCCTGAGCTGCAGGGCTACCAGAGGCCAGGGGTTCCATGCGAATGAGTCAACAATGTGTCTTAAGTTGACTTTAACAAAAACACATAAGGGTTATTATGCAGTGATTGATTGGCCAAATGTGGCCCAATACTTGTTTTTCTGAAGGTGCTGGGGCTGCAACCAGGGACTCACCCCTGCCAGGCAATCGCTGTGCCACCGAGCCTCATCCCCAGCCCTTTTTTCATTCTTATTTTGAGACAAAGTCTTGCTAAATTGCCCAGGCTGGCCTTGAACTTGTGATCCTCCTGCCTCAGCCTCCTGAGTTACTGGGGCTCTAGGCGTGTGCCTCGGTGCCCGGCCCAATACATTTTTTGTTTCATTTTTGGTACCAGGGGTTGAACTCAGGGGCACTTAAACCACGGAGCCACATCCCCAGCCCTTTTTATTTTTTTATTTTGAGACAAGGTCTCCCTGAGTTGTTTAGGGCCTCCCTAAATTGCTGAGGCTGGCCTCGAACATGGGATCCTCCTGCCTCAGCCTCAGAGTCCCTGGGATTACAGACACATGCCACAGCACATTAAAAACAAACAAACAAACAAACAAACAAAAAGAACTGCAAAACAAACAAGAATAAGAATCCCTCAAAACAACAACAAAGAAAACCCAAGCATCCAATAAAAAAGTAAATAAAATAAAATAAATAATAAAACAGAAAAGGTTGGGACCTACAGGCCCTGTATGTCCCCTAGGAGCAGTGGCTCAGAATTTGAAAATTCAGACACTGAACAATTTTATAGAATATAACTAATGTGAATAATGAGAGTCAACAGCATGTCTGCTGGACGCGGTGGTCCACGCCTGTAATCCCAGCAACTCAGAAGGCTGAGGCAGGAGGATTGCAAGATGGAGGACAGCCTCAGCAATTTAGCAAGGCCTGAAGCAATTTAGTGAGACCCTGTTTCAAAATTAAAAAACAGAAACAAAAAAATGGGCTGTGGCTGTGGCTCAGTAGTTAGAGCACTTGTTTACCAGGTGTGAGGCCCTGGGTTCAGGGGAAAAGAAATAACATTTCAAATCAAAATAAACAAAAGGACTGGGGATAGAGCTCAGAGGTGGGGCGCTTCTGGGTTCAACCCCCAGCACCCAAACAAACCAGGAGAAAGCAGCCTCCTTCCTAAATGTCACCCATCTCCTGTCACCGATCACACAGTGTGACTGATAAGCAAGCCCCAGCGGGTGGAGGCCGGTGGGGGCACCTGCTCACCATTTGCCTGACGCCCTGGTTCCCTCCACAGCAGCGCCAAACCAGGAAAACCCTGGTCAGCGGCGGAACTCCGGAGCCAACCTGCCCCCTCCCTCCTCACCCAGAGCAGCTTCCCTGCAGGAAAAGGGGCAGCCACACCCTGGCAGCTTCCCAGCTCTGTTTCCGCCCTACCAGTCTAGATCCTAGGGCAGGACATGGGATCTAGAAGCAAAGCTCTAGAGTCCAAGTTCAAGGTGTGGCACCCAGGGCGGCCGCCTGCTGGCCCGCCTGCAGCCTGGGTGGACAGCAGAGGTGCCCCCTCCTGGAGACCCTTGACTGCCACCTGCTGGGGAACCGCAGCATTGCAGGTTGGTGATTGGGCCAGTGCGCATCCTCCAGGATTCTACCCACCCCAATCCTTCCAGGTCGCGAACTCACATGCCACCTTTTTGTCCTTCCAGGAGCACCTGGAACAGGGGTCTATTGGAAGGGATGGTCTGCAGGATGCTGCCATCTGAGCTCACGTACCCGATGGCCCACTGCCCCAGGCGAGTACAGCTGGGCCTGAAGATGTAGCTGGAGGGAGAGGTGGGTAGGATGGGGTGAGGGACTGGTCACTGCTGTCCCTTCGGGGAAGTCCCAGTCCCCCACCCTGTTGGGGATCCAGGTGTCTAAGTCCTTATGTCAACTTCCCATGCATGCACGGAGGGGCTAGATCCCTGTCTGGCTCTTCTTGGGATAATAATATCCCTGACGCTATTTAGAGACTCTGTCCCTCCTTCATTGAAGTTGGGACAAGCCTGACTGTGGCTCGGCCAATCAGGGTATTCTAGGATCCCTGGCCTCAGTAATCGGAGTCAGGGACCTTTGCTAGAAGTATCGAAGCAGGTGCCCCAGCTTCACAAAGGTTGCTAAACTGGTGGGGTGTATAACAGTGACCCCTAGAAGCCATTTGACACCAGGCAGGGAGACCACATCTGAGAAGGACGCTAACATGGACGAAAGCAGAGACAGGGTAGGAGCAGAAGCTGAGTCTCAGATTAGGACTGGAACACCTGGGTCCAGCTGAACCTGAAAGCCAAACTCTAGTCTTTTCAGTTATAGGAATTAATCAATTCCTGTTGCTTTTCCTTTAAACCAGTTTGGAGTATAATCGGAAGAACTGGAAGAGTGCAGATATATACTTGCCTTTTTTGGGCTTCTGCACTTGAGCCCTGCAAGGCTCGCAAACCTGACCTCCTATTCTCTCAACTCCTTGATGTTCCAGGGGGCTCAGCTCCCCAGTTTCTAGCCCTTTGGGGAGACCCAGCAGCTAAAAAATCCTGACTTGAAATAATTTAAAGATTCAGATGTCTGGGCGCAGTAGTGCACGCCTGTAGTCCCAGCAGCTCTGGAGGCTGAGACAGGAGAATTGTGAGTTCAAAGCCAGCCTCAGCGTTGGCGAGGTGCTAAGTTGCGCTTAGCAACTCAGTGAGACCCTGTCTCTAAATAAAATACAAAATAGGGCTGGGGGTGTCGTTCAGTGGTCGAATGCCCCTGAGTTCAATCCCCAGTAGCCCCCAAAAAAAGAAAAAGAAAGAAAAGATTCAGATGTCTCCTTTCCCAGTGTCTTGCTGCAACAGGTATGTGCGGTCATAGTCAAAATATTTTACCCAGGGCCCAACGTCACTCTGACCAATCAGAAAGGGACCCAACCCATGCCTGTAATTCCAGCAGCTGAGGCAGGAAGATTGCAGATTGGAAGCCGGCCTCAATCGAGGCTGTAAGCAATCTAGTGAGACCTTGTCTCAAAATTAAAGAAGAAAAAGGGCTGGGGGTGTGGCTCAGTTGTTAAGTGCCCCGGGTTCAATCCCTGGTACCAAAAAAAAAAAAAGACCTAATGTGGGCAGGGTCTTCAGCACCCCGTTCCCCCACCAGATGAGGTACTGTGTGTTTAGCTGCTGGACTGTGGGAAGGCGCAGGGGGTCCTGGGAGAAAAGACACGTGACCAAGGACACTCAACTGTCTACCTCGGAGCTCTTTTATTTGGTTGTTTTGGGCGGTACTAGGAATTGAACCCAGGGCGGGGGTCTGTCACTCAGCTACACCCCCGACACGTTATTTTTTAAATTTTGAGACAGGGGGTCTGGCTCAGAATCTTCGATCTTCCTGCCTCATCCTCCTGAACCGGCTGGGATTCAAGTGTGCACCCCCCCCACACCAGGCGACCTCCAGAGTTCTTAATTCTCTGGGTCCCAGGACCCTGACCCCTGCCCCCCGGGGGAGGCCCCCCTCCACCCCCCCCCCCCCCCCCCAGCCAGGACCAGGCCCTGAGCCCTGGCCTCGTCCTGCTGAGGCAGGGACCATTACCTGCCTGGCTTGTCCCTGCAGGCCTGCAGCCGCGCCTGGACCTCGTCATAGGTGAGGAAGGCCATGTAGCCCGGGTGGTTGACTGCCAGGAGCTGCCAGTTCTTAAGCAGGGTCGGCCAGGGCTGGGAGGGAGCAGGGCTGGGGTCACCCACGGAACAAGGAAGCAGCCCATGTCGCTAGAGCTTCCTGGTGGCTGAGAGCCTGGCCGCCTTGCTCACGCCATGGTGGGCTGGCCAGTACCTCCTTTATATAGAAGGCCCCAGACCTTTCCTTCCCTAGGACGCAGGGGTCCAGCCCAGTCTCCTCCCTCAGACCCAGGGTCCAGGCCCAGTCCCCTCCCTCAGACACAGGGGTCCGGGACCAGCCTCCTCCCTCAGACCCAGGGGTCCAGCCCAGCCCCCTCCCTCAGACCCAGGGGGCCAGGCCCAGCCTCCTCCCTCAGACCCAGGGGTTGTGGCCTCCGCCTTGGCCTTCTCTGACCTGGAAGAGCCTGGTGAAGATGTCAAACTCAAAGACAGACACGTGGCCACTGCAGGTGAGGTCCATGGTGGAGCGCAAGGCCTGGGCCATGGGGCCTGGTTCCACAGGGTGGCAGGAGCACAAGAGCGACTGGAACTCTGCCCAGGGCAGCACACACCTGGGCGGGGGGTGGGGTGGGAGGTTCCATTGAGGACTGAAGGATCTGTAGGTGGGGCCCCCGACTCCTGGGGCCTGGGCCGGGCAGGATGGGGCTTGGGGCAGGCAGTGCCCACTCACCGGGCCCCGCAGCGCTCCCTCCAGAAGGTGTGGGCCTGGGCTTTGGTGGGCTGGTACACGTGCCCGCAGTACTTCCCCCCAGGGAACAGCGCGCTCAGCTCTGCATGCATGTGGCTGAAGATGAGGGCCAGCTTGGCCAGCTGTCGCCTGCAGGAATGAACCCTGAGGATGGGCTGGACCTTGGGGATCTCCACAGAGCCAAGCCCCCGGCTCTTCCTAACATACAGGCTGAGCGTCCGTCCCATGGCAGCTTAGTCCCGAGGCCTCCGCTCTCTGGGCCCCGGTTTCCTCATCTGTTAAGGAAGTGTAGAAGCTGCCCAATGTCCAATCAGCCTCCAGCCACCAGTGCCCAGCCTGGCCAGAGCCCGCCTGGCTGGAGGGGTGGGCTAGCTTAGTAGGGGACCCCGGCCCTGGGCAGCCTGTCCACAGAGCATGCTCAGAGCCTTTCTCCACCTGCAAGTGGGATGGGGGCGGGTGGAGCCTCCTTGAGTTCCTGATCAGGATGGGTGGCCCTTGCCCTTCTCATCTGAGCGACTCTTGGCAATTTTTTTCTCTTTTTCCCATGTCCCAGTTTCTCAACTGGAAAATGGGGGTAAATACAGGTAAGCACTGCCCCTGACTCATCGGGGAAGGAGGATTTTTCCATCCTGAACACGTAAAATACACAGCAGAGTGGGCACAGCGTTGGCACTCAGTGTTGATCTTATTGCTTTCTTAATCTCTATTAATAGCTTGGGGGGGGTGTCTGCAGGGCTCCTGACGGTGTCTAAGTAGCCTCCCTTTGCAGAATCTGAGCTGTGTGGTCCATATGGGAACCACTGTCCACACACATACCGCTGATCTGGAGTGAGAGGTGTGCTTTAAATGTGGAATGCACTGCAGATTTCAGAAACTTAGCACAATTTTTTTTTTAAACCCACGAGCAAGCACATGAATAATTGCTTTATATTGATTTCAAATCGATATAATATTTTTTATATAGTGAGCTAATAAAAATGTTATTAAAACTCATTTCACCTGTTTTTGTTTATTTGTTTAGAAACAGGGTCTCATTAAGTTGCTTAGGGCCTCACTAAGTTGCTGAGGCTGGCGTTGAACTTTTGATCTTCCTGCCTCAGCCTCTGCAGCCACTAGGATTACAAGTGTGCCCCGCATGCCTGGATCACAGTTTTTTTTTTTTTTTTTTTCCAAAGATCTTTTTGGAATTTGTCTAATAGAAAATTAAAAAGGACCTACATGGCTAGCATTAGGTTTTAAAGGACAGTACTGGTCTAGAACCTTCCTCAAAAACTTCGTAGGACCCCTGTGACTCTAAGCATACCCCCCAGATGCTCACTAAGCCCCTAGACTTCCTAGTTACTAGAACCCTCTAACCTAGAATGGAGAACCCGAGAACAGAGTTCTCACTGGAGGCTCTCACTGCAGTTATAGCACCTTTCCAACGGGTTTCTAGAAATTTGCTTGACATAGAGATTAGGATGGGGCTCTTAGATTGTGGGGATAATCCCCTCCAGCAAGATCTGTCCTCATTTCGCTTGGCTTGCAAACTTTTGTATCCAAGCCTTGAACCCAGTTGTGTTTTGCATGAGCATATTTTGCACATTTTAAATTGATAATGAGATTTCAGAAACCCAAGTCTCCTAAATATAAAGAGAAGACTTTTTTTCCCCCTAGTATTGGAGATTGAACCCAGAGACCCTCTACCACTGAATCATATCCACATCCCCAGACATGCACCCCCCGCCACTATTTTTTTTTTAAACAAGGTTGCACTATGTTGTTGAGGCTGGCCTCAAACTTGGATCCTCCTGCATCAGCCTCCCCAGTCAAGGGGATGACAGTGTGTGCCATTGTACCTGGCTAAGGGAAGACTATTTGATTCTGCCTCATGGTGGTTCTTGTGTCTGACTAGTCGATTCTTCCTTCCAGAATAACAGTGCCTTTGCATTTTCATGCAGAAGAAATATATATTGTAAAGAACATTCCTTTGATCACTGTTCTATTATATGTCTTGGGCATAACACTAATTTTTTTTGACACTTGGGTGGGGCATAACACTAATTTTTAAATACAGGGAAGCAGGTTGCTGAACCTGTGTGTTTCATTTCCAGCTGAATTAGGGAGCTGAAGAAGGGGCTTGGAGCCTGCAGAGGCAGGAAAAGCTGGTTTAGAGCTTGTTCTTGCTCCAGGCTCCGGCGGTCTGCCCCTGCCCCTCGGTAGCCCTTCCCCTAGAGTTCAGAACAGAGCGCAGTGGGCAGGCCAGTCCAAGGTCCTCAGCTGGCCCTTGCAAGGAAGAGAAGCAAGAGGGTGGAGCTCAGGCTCCCAGGGTGCATCCACTTGCCCTCAGTGGAAGTCCATTGGGCCCCCAATTTCCCTCCCTTCCTGGGAGATCAGGGCACTGGGATTCTGGTTTTAAGGGGATCCAGGAAAGGGGGAGATGGGGGGGGCTGGGTGTCCAAGGAAGTGACTCAGTTTCCCGGGTGGGACGAAGGGGCCAGGGAGGAGAGCCTGGGTGGAGGACTCCAGGGTCTGAGGGAGGGAGGCTGGGGTCTGGACCCCGGGGTCTGAGGGAGAGGCTGGCTGGGAGCATGACCTGGGCCTCACTCGTGAGACTTTGTTCCGGGACAAGGACATCTGCTCACCTGAGTCTGGAGCCCTCCCGGAAGAGCTCGTCGTTGGCACCCCTCTTGCCCCGGGGCGGCAGCAGCTCTGCCACCTGTCTGCTCTTGGATTCCAGGTTGGCCAAGTAGATGATGAGGAAGTCCCCGGCGCCACCGGGACCCTCTGGGCCGTCCCCACCGGCCGCCCGCCGGGCGCTGGCCACCTCCCGCAGGAGCTGTGCGGTGCGGGGCAGCAGGTCCCGCAGCGAGGGGGGCCCCAGGGCCAGCCGGGGGTCCCCACATTGCTCTTCCAGGCGCTGCAGCAGCCTCACCGCCCGGCCAAGCGCTCGTGGCTCCCCCCAGTGCCACCCGCGCGGGACCGCCGAGGCAGCCATGGGTCCCTGGGTGCCTCGGGACCGATGGGTGCGGCGGGGAGAGGCGCGGCTGCCAGGTGGGGGCGGGGCACGTCAGGAGGAGGGGGCGGGGCTGGGGGATCGGGCACCTGAGTCCCCTGGAGGTGGGGCTTGGAAATCTGAATTCCATAAGGGAGCCTGGGGCCGAGGAGGGGACCCCGGAGCGGTGGGAATCGCAGGTGGGAGACCTGGGTCCCTTTAGGGAGAGACGGGCGCTGGGGGAGGGCTTAGGGGACCCCTGGGACCTTTGTTGGGTACAGGATCGACAAGGGTGGGAAGTTAGCTCTCCAAAGTAGAACCTTGAGTCGTGGCCGAAGGTCTGAGTCTTTGGTGGCGGCGTGGGGTTAGAGGTCGGAGAACTGAGTTTCCTAGTAGGGTCAGATCCAGGAACAAGTGCTATCTATCCCTCTGTCCCCCAGAACGAAGGCACAGGGCGTTCAGATGCCTGGGTCTCCATGGCGGGGTCCCTGCGGGAAATTGGGCTGGAATTTAGAGACCCAGGTTTCCAAAGGAATTCGACCTCTGGGTCCCCAAAGGGCGAGGCGCGAGTGGATTTCAAGAATGCACAGGGCGGGCGTGGCGCCGCTGTCCTCTCGACCTGCAGAACCTGTAGCATCAGCTGAGCCCGGCAGCGCCAGGGAGGGCCACCAGAGGGCGCTGTAGGCCGCCGTGTTCCCCGCCCCCCGCAGCCAGGCCTGCCACGCCCACCTGGCCACGCCCCCGGGAGGCCAGGCCAAGTTCGGATCGCAAGTATCCTCTGCACGCACCTGGGGAGTCAGGATTCCCCGATTCTCTCTCCAAGTAGAGAATAATAATAACCAGAAACGTGTGGAACACACGCCCTCCGTCAGGCCCTGGGTGTCAGAATCTCTAAATCTTTGCCCCCTGAATTCTCAAAATCCCTTTGAGGTGGGACGGCAGAAGGTTTAGGATGAAAGGTGAGGGTCCTGGCGCCCCTCCTCAGCTTCTCCCCAGACGCATAGAACCCGAGAAGCTTTAATTTCTGGAATCTTCCATGTCGCATGTCATCCTAAGCAGAGACCCACCCGTCTTTGCAGTGGGAATGGCAGGGTCGGCCTCCCGACCTGAGCCTCCTTTCCTCTTCCAGAAAACAGGATAAAAACCCTGGCCTGGCAAAAGTTCAAACTTTCGGTTTAAGCCAAAGGTTGGCAAGGAATTCTATTGGAGGGCAATTTGGCAGTGTACATGGAACCTCTGGACAAATGGACAGGCAGGTTCACGGTCACTACCTCCTTCAGAGCTGTGGTTGGTACACTTGCTGGCACTGAGGCATGGAGACAGGAGCCGAGGCTTGAAGCAAAAAGTTCACCACGTGGCCCTTCCCCGAGTTGTGCACATAATTTAATATCTTCCGTTCTATTTAATGTCCTTTCATTAACAGAAATATTGTGTTTTCAACCCACCAAATTGATCTCACAACCCACTAATGGATCAGGTTCAGCAGTCTGAAAACTCCAAGAGACACATTCAGGGATATTAATTGTCATCTTGTCGGAAATGGAGAGACCAGGAAGGTAAATGTCCCTCCCCAGGAGAAGGGATGAATGTATTGTGGTCCACTCTCCCAGGGGCTCCTGAGGCAGGTGAGATGAATGAACTGGACTCATAGCATGAGTCATAAAAATAAATATATAATAATATAAAAATATAATTCGGTGGCGTACCCCTGTAATTCCAGCAGCTCGCGAGGCTGAGGCAGGAGGATCTGTGTTCAAAGTCAACCTCAACAATGGCCAGTTGCTTAGCAACTCAGTAAGACCCTGTCTCTAAATAAAATACAAATAGGGCTGGGGATGGGGCTCAGTGGTCAAGTGTCCCTGAGTTCAATCCCCAGTAGCCCCCCCCCAAAAAAAAAAATCCCACTCGACACCAAGATGACTACTATGAAAAAGATAGACAATAACAAATTTTGGAAGGAGGTGCCGAGATTGGAGGCCTCCAGCACAGCTGGTGGAAATGTGAATGCAGCTGCTTCGGGAAACAAAGTTCCTCCAAATGTTAAACTTGGAGTAATCATATGAGCACTCCAACATCTATGTGTCCCAGAGAATGGACCACAGCCAAAGAATTGTGAAAACAACCTATATATCCATCAACTGGTGAATGGATAATAAAAAGTGGTTTCCTAGCACTACAATAAATAAACAAATCATTAAAAATTAAAATAGGGCTGGGGCTGTGGCTCAGGGGCAGGGTGCTTGCCTAGCATGTGTGAGGCACTGGGTTCAATTCTCAGCACCACATAGAACAAATAAAATAAAGATCCACTGGCAATAAAAAAAAAAAAAAAAAAAAAAAAGCCTGGTGTGCTGGCGCACGCCTGTAATCCCAGTGGCTTGGGAGGCTGAGGCAGAAGGATCACAAGTTCAAGGCCAGCCTCAGCAACTCAGTGAATGCTTAAGCAACTTACTGAAAGCCTGTCTGAAAATAAAAAATAAAAAGGACTGGGGATGTGGCTCAGTGGCAAAGCGCCCCTGGGGTGAGTCCCCAGAACTCAAAACAAAACAAATCAACCCTAATCCACGCCACAACATTGATGAACCTTGAACACATGATGCTAAGAAGTCATTCCTAAAATACTACACATGATATTATTCCATTTATATGAAATGCCAGAATAAGCAAATATGTAGATAAAAAGTACAGTAAACTGGGTATGGTGGCATATGTCATGTAGTCCCAGCTACTTGGGAGGCTGAAGCTGGAGGGTCCCAAATTTGAGGCCAACCTGAGCAACTTAGACCATCTCAAAATGAAATAAGAAGGACTGGGGGTGTAGCTCAGTGGCAGAGCGCTCGCCTAGCATGTGCAAGGCTCTGCATTTGAGCCCCAGTACACCCCCAACCCCAAATATAAACAAACAAACAAATAAATAAAAAGAATACATTAAGGGATGCCTGGGGTAGGGGGGTTTGGGGAGAAATAGAGTGACTACTAGTGGAAGGTTTCTTTTAGGGGTTAAATGTTTTAAAATGCCTTCTGGTGATGATGGCTCAGTTCTGGGATTACACTGAAACCAGGCGATTGTACACTTCAGGTAAGTTGAGCGCTGCCTGCATTCTCTCGCAATGAATCAGTCGTCAAAACTGGAGGGCACACCTGGGAGCTCACCACCAGAGGGCGCGCTGAGAACAGGGTAACCTTCTCCCTTGGGAACACTTTCTCTGGCCACACGCCCAGGCCTTGGCCACGCCTCTGAGACCCTGGCCCCACCCCAGACCTTAATCACAGGTGAAAGCCGTGGGTCACACCCGCAAGGCAGCGTCTGAAGCAGCAAATTCACCTCCCCGACTCCCGAGACTTTGACCACAGATGCATGCACAGACGGCAGCGCTTAGAAACACAACCTTAAAAACCCTAGACTTTGTCCCCAGCAAAACAAAACAAAACAACCACCCCAAAGAAAACAAACCAACCCCGAAGACTTTTAAACCATGAGTTTTGATTTGAAATCACTTTAAAAAAAAAAAAAAAACATTTTAAACTTGCAGAAAATTTGCAAGGATAGAGTCCTCTTGTATACCTTTCCCCCAGATTCACAACTGTGAACAGTTTGTGGAGTAACTTTACCATGGATGCTGTCTCGCTGCAGCCACTGTCTGAGAGAGTAAGTTCCACATTTTGTCCACTTACCTCTAAATACTTCAGTTGCATTTCCAAGTTTTTTTTTTTTTTTTTTCACCGGGGATTTAGCTTAACTACTAAACCACATCCACAGCCCATTTTAATTATTTAATTTAGAGACAGAGTCTCACTGAGTTGCTTAGGGCCTTGGTAAGTTGCTGAGGCTGGCTTTGAACTTTCGATCCTCCTGCCTCAGTCTCCTAAGTCTCACAAAATTGACTTTTTTTCCCCCTGTATTGGAAATTGAACCCAGGGTTGCTCTACCACTGATTACATCCCAGAACTTTTAAAATTTTGTTTTAAATTTTTTAGTTGTGGTTGGACACAATGCCTTTATTTTATTTATTTTTTATTTCTTCATGTGGGCCTCTCATGTGCTAGGCGAGCGCTCTATAGCTGAGCCACAACCCCAGCCCAATCTCAGAACTTTTTACATTAGTTTATTTTGATACAGGATCTCCCTAAGTTGCTGAGGCTGGCCTTAAACTTGTGATCCTCCTGCCTCAGCCTCCCAGTTAGCTGGGATAATAGGCTTGGGCCACCGAGCTCCGCACAAAAGTGACATTTTTTTTTTTCTTTTGAAGATTTTTGAAGATGGCAGATGGTTCTTTTTAGGATATTCCCCTTCACTAGGGTTTATCTGGTGTTTCCTTGCGATCAGATCCTGGTAGTGTCAACAGGACAGCGGTGGCACAGGGTCCTAGCACATTGGGTGGGAAGGCTCGACCGGCCTCCTCGGTGCGGGGCTGAGGGTGGCGGTGGCCAATCAAGGAGTCTGTGCCTGGGACTCACCAGCAGGTTGTCTCTCTCTCCCGGGCCTCACCTTCCTTCCTGTAAATGGAGGTCGGCCCACGAGGGCGTCTGTAAACCCACCTGAAGGGCAGAGGCCTCCTGTTAGCGCTCACCATCTTAAAATAGTTTTGGCATGTCGCCAACAGTGAGGACTTGGCAGATGTCACTCTCAGTCTGGAAGAGAGGTCCTCTAACTCTCTGGGCTCACCCAGGGTGGGGAGCTCAAGAGCAGCTGTGCAACAGGAGCTGGCCCAACGTGCACTGAAGGTGTGACATCAGGTCCTGCCCTGTCCCAGGACGCTGGGTCGTCACCTGGGAGTCTTGCTGGGTGGGGTGAGGGCTGCATTCTGTGAGGTGTGGGGCCCGGGAGACCGGCAGAGGGTCCTCTCCCACCCCTTGGTGTTTGCCTTGCTCTGGGGCAGGGGAGGGGTGTGGAAGGACACTCTGGTCCCAGGGCCTGGGAGGCCCCGGGGGATTTCCAAGTGTTGAGAAGCTGGATCCTTTGTTTTAGAGAAGTGACTTCCCCGGGTCAGGCCTCCATTCAG